GGACGGCGGCGGGCGCCGGGGGCCGGGGGCGCCGCGCCGGGGGCGGCCATGTCGCGACAGGCGGCGGTGTCGCCGAGGCGGGCGGCGGCGGGGAGGGCGGCGGTGGCGCTTGGGGAGGAGGGGAAGGGGTCCGGCCCAGTCGAGCCTGACGCTCTCACCACAGGAGCTGGCGCCGCCGCTGAGGAGCGTATCGCGACAGGCGGGGGAGGCGAGCGCCCGCCGCCTTTTTCTCGCGCCCCGGGCCCGGGCGCTATCGCGATAGCGGCGCGAAGCGGAAGTGGGGTGGGGGGAAGTGGGCCCGGGGTTGTTCTGACGACGGGGTCGGGGCTCAAGGGAGGCCGCGGCGTCTGCCGATGGCTCCGCGGAAGCTGACCGGGCCCGGTCCAAGATGGCGGCGGCGGAGGAGGCCTCCCCTCCTCTCTTCTCGTCTCTGGCGCCGACCCGCCCCCGAGCCCCGAATATAGGCCTATGATTGCTCCTGCGGCATGTCGCTCTTACCCCTCGGACGCACCCTATTGGTCCTTGGGAGGGATGCAGCCGGCCTCCTCTCGCCGATTGGGCAATCCCTCCAAGGCGCGGCGTTCGATTGGCCTCCCGCGCAGGCTGCTAGGATTGGCTCAGATTTTCTTCCCCGCTCCTCCTCCTCCCCGCCTCAGGGCACAACTCGCCAGCGCGAGGGCCCGTGCATCAATCAAGAGGCCACTGTCGTGCTGATTGGATACACCCGCCCCCCCTCTCCTAAACCAATTGGCCGGGGGGAGGAGCTAGGCTGATCAGGGGCGGGAAGTCGTTCGTCAAGTTTAGAGCCGTTTTTAATTGGTTGTGAGGGGGTATTCTGCCCTGAAGCCATTGGTTGAGTCCGGAAGTGGGTGGGGAAAGCGGAGGAAGGCATGGAGCGTGGGCGTGAAAGGCCGCTCACCTAATGGGAGGCGGACAGGTGCCTTCCGAGCGCGGGCCGAGCCGAAGTCGCCTGCCAGTCGACGAGGGGAGGAGCTGTCCCCTCGTCGGCCCCGCCTGGTGCCGTTCACCCCGGCCGGTACGGGGGCGCAGCGAGGGGGCGGCACCCGCCTGCGGAGCTTGTGAAACGGGGCGTAGCCAGCGGGCTCGGCGTCCCCCGTGTCCCGGCTGCGTCGCGTTCCTGCAGCTGCCCGCGGTCGGCACAGGTCTGGGACTCGGTGTTGTGGAAGGGAGGAAGGAAGCAGTGGACAGCGCCCCGAGTCACTGGCGCTCGCACGCCCTTGGGGTGGGGAGGGATGCGTGGACCGTCTGTCCTGCCACCGCCTGGGACAGCAGCTCCCCCCTGCACGTCCGCTTCCGAGGGCACTCGGGGGATTACCCTGTGCCCTCCCGCTCTCCCACTTTGGCACGTCTGCCCTTCCGGACTTGGCATCCGCAGGAAGACAGTAACTGTGCTCATGAGTGAGTGAGCGAGTGAACGCGAGGGATGACTTGTGGTCCAAGACTCGGGAGGCACTGGTGCTTTCACGAACCTCGAGGCATTTGCTCAGGGTCAGGCGGTCAAGATGGGAAGGTGGATCCAGGGAAGGTGCAAGTGAGAGCTACAACCGAATCGCAGGGCAAGGGAGGGGAAAGGTTTTTAGGTCCACTCAGACCTGGGGAGTGAAGCCTGGAGGTCTGCACTTTTGACACACTTCCCTGCGTGATCCCCATGCTCACTGGAGTTGGAGAGTCACTCATCTAGAGCCACGCTCCTCAAAGTGCGGACCCTGGATGTGGCAGTGCCTCTCGGACACCCGGGACGGCTTGTTAAAATGCAGATTCTGATTCAGGAGGTCCCAGGTGATGCTGATGCTCCACAGTTGGCACTTTGAGTAACAAGGATTCAGAGCAATGGTTCTCAAACTTGGCTGCACATTAGACTCGCCTGGGTGGCTTGAAAGAAAAAATCCAGATACTCAGTCTTTTACCCTAGACCACTGAAATCTGAATTTCTGGGAATGGGAACCAGACTAATTTTTAAATCTACCGAGATGATTCCAACATGCAGCTCATCTGATAGAGAATTTTCTAGAAGTGGTTCTCAAAGTGAGGTACCAATCAGTGGCCAAAACATCACCTGGGAACTTACTAGAAATGTACACTTTTGAGTTCCCACCCTAGACCAACTGAAGCAGAAACCCTGGGCCCTGCAACCCTGGTTTTAACAAGCCACCCAGGTAATTCTGAAGCGTACTAAGCTTTGAGCATCTCTGTTCTAAGGTTCTGCAGGACTGCAGCACGAGGTGAATCAGATCCCTTCTGACTCCGGCCAGGGAGGTGAAGGTTCTGAAAAGGGGCAGACAGAGCACCCTTCCCCGGCAGACTCATCAGCAGAGATCAGCCAAGTTCATCACTTTTCAACAGGGCTGATCTAAAGGCTTAGGGATAAAGCTGGGGAAACCGAGGTTCAGTGACCTGGGGTAGTGTAGCCATTAGAAGGAATCTCCCAGGTGGTGTAGACTCTGATGTGAGGGGAGAGATTCAGAGAGGGGCTGAGGTCCACAGAGTGAGCCCTGAACTGAGACATACTTGGAGCAAGTATGGCAGGGGCAGCCCAGAAAGAGGAACAGAGAAGGAGGTATCTCAGACAGGACCCAGCCAGCCAGAGCCTCAGGGAGAAAGTGTGAACTGGAGGGTGGGAGACTGGCAGAGGTAGGAGGCATCACCTTCCTACAGGGTGGGTTGTGCACCCACCTCCTGGGTAACTAAGAGGGGCACTGACTGACCTCACAGGTCAGTGACGAGGGCTCCCTCCCCAGTGCACTGTGAAGCCCAGCTCCGGAGCACAGTACATGGGCCCCCAGGTGGCGCCTTCCTTAATTAGTGCTTGCAGGGTAGCCCCAGGGACAGCCCCTGCCCACAGGCTTGTCCCCACCAGCCTGCAGGCCGCGTGCCCTCAGCCTGCACCTCTCAGCCAAAGTGAAGAGGACCTTGGCTGAGCCCCAGTTCCAGGACAGACTGACGTGGGAGGAACTCTTAGAACACTGCGTCCCGGCCGGCAGGGAGCCTGTCTGCTCAGCCCCATCAGGGCTCAGCACAGCAGGGTGGGCAGGGAGTACTCTGCAAACACTGGACTCTGACAGGGAGCCCAACGCTAGGCACGTCCCGGGCACCTTTCACATCCTCACAGGTGGCCCTTGGTGTTAGGGGTGGAGGCTTGGAAACGCGAGGCCACTCACCTGATACCACAGCCACGCAGGTTGGCCTATTCGCAAAGCTGGGGCTTTCAGCGGCCACATCCCTTGGAGGTCAGAACGACTGACGTTCTCCAGGTGGGTTGGAGACACAGAGGGCTCTGCTCTTCCTGGGATCCATAATAGGGAAGAGAAAGGCCAGGGATGGGCCCAGACACCACCTGGATCTGTGCCCCCAAACCCCACAGCTCAGACTCCTCCAGTCACACATGTGTTTGACAAATGACCACTCCCCAGGAACAGAACCTGATAATGTGCTTTTAATGGCACTTTTTCCAAAAGTATCTCCTTTCCTAGTTAAAATACAAAAGATGAGGCATGGTGAAGACTGGCTCTGCCCCCCCTGCAATGGGGAGCGATCTTGGTGCTTGGGGGGGCTGGGCCTCCTCCCGAGCCTCCCTGGACAGTCCTGGCACCGGGCTGAGGACGGAACCTCCCAGCCCTATCCTGACCCCGATCCCTTCAGAAGGGCGGGGCCTGTGCAGCTTCAGGGGCAGCCCCCCAGGGCGCAATGCCTCAGGTGGACATGATGCCGCTCTTCTCGCCCTTGACCTTGAGGAACTCGGCCATGCTGGAGAAATACTTCTGGTTGGCCTCAGCCACCTTCTTCTCGGCTGCTTGCGGGTTCACAATTTCCAGGCCCTGGGCGGGTGAGGGAGGTGATGATGGAGTGGGGAGATGGGCTGGCCCGTGACAAGGCCCGCCACCCAGTAAGACAATTCTGAAATGTCCAGGGGACCCTTCTCAATGGTCCTCGGGCTCCAGATAGACGTGAGAACAGTTTACCAGTCACCAAACTGCCCCCGCCCCAAACCTGGGGAGATTCTGACTCTGTGGGTCTGGGATGGGGAAGAGTGGGGAGGACCTGAGCATCTGAATTTTTAACAAGTCCTCCTCCAGGGAATTTTAAAAACACCAATGTTTCAGAACAGCCAACCAAGGAAACCAAGTCACAGAGCTAAGCGGCTCACCTGCGGCCCTAGTGCAAACCACATCAGCCCCACTGGTGACACAGGGGTCAGCTCTGGGGGCCCCACGCTGGCTGGCACCATCCCCAGTATCTTCCACAGGTAATTCTCACCTCCTCGCTGAGGCCTCCCCAGGGGGCTCCAACCTGACACTGCCCCCTCCCCCCCCTCCTCCCTGCACTTCCCACTCTGACAGGCTCTCTATTCTATTGTACCTATCTGACCCGCCCCCCACGAGCTCCGTGAGCAAGGCCTGCTGTCTCGCACCCGCGGCTCTATCCCCGGTGCCTGCGACAGTGCTCGGCACTTGGGTGCTCAGTACGCCCTTGCTGACGGAGCAAATGAGTTCAGTGACTTGGCACGAAGCCGTGGGACACACTGGCCCTCTTGTGCGGGTGGGCCGAGGAATGGACAGGTGCGGTGGCTCCATCCGGTGCCTCGGTGGCTGGGTCCCAGCCAGCTAGCTATGAACTTTCTTACGTGGAGCCCTGAGGGGGTCCCCACCACCCAGCACCTCAGGGAGGGCTGAGCCGACTCGAGGTCACAGCGAATAACTGGTCACCTGCAGTCCCAGCCCAATCCTAAAGCTAGCTGTGCTTGCAGGCACGATGGTCTCCCTTCTGTCCCCACGAGCCTGAGCACCAGGAGCTCCGCTCTGCCTTCCGGGGCCGTCCCTGATACACTGTCCACAACAGCCCCGTGAGGAACCCCACCATGTGCCCACTTCCCAGGCTAAGAAGCTGGAGCCCAGGAAGAGGAAGGCGCTCGCCCAGGGCCACTCAGAGAGCTGGGAGCGGAGCCAGCGCAGAACCGGGCCTCCCGACTCCAGGGCACAGTACCTGGAGTGGGGTGAAGGCCACGCTGGAGGCAGTCCCCGAGGAGCGGTCACGGATGGTGGACTTCCCGCCGTACACCACACTCTGCTTCTGCAGGGTCCGCTGTGTGTGGGGGGAGGGGAGGGGACGGGATGTCTGGGCTGGGCCCGGGCTCTCCCACCAGAGCTCCCTCACCCCTGGGCCCACCCAGCCAGGCCCGTACCTGCAGTGTCTTGGAGATCCTGGCTTTGGTGGCCTCGTTCACCTGTGTCTGCCGCACACGCCCGCTGCCCGATTTGCCCAGATGGCCCAGGCTGAAGCCCAGGTCCTCTTGGTAGGCGTCCTCCTCAATCTGGTGGGAGGGGAAGGTATCCCAGAGTTAGCCACCCTCCA